ATTGATTGAATTAATTATATTTATATTATATTTTAATAATTAAATTAAGTGTAGTTATACACCACGTTAAAAACAACTGAATTACTTTACACGTGATAAAAATTTTTGAAGTGACTAGAAGGTATATTGGTGCATGCAAGCGGTGAAGAGGCCTTTCGCCTAGCACATTGTTTCTTTCGGCATTTGAAGAAAGCACTAATCATTCAAGTAAGGTACATTTATTTTCGCTACGAATTAAGTATTGTCTCTTCTTTTTATTTTTTTAAATTTGCATAGTACATTACAATATTATTATTATTATTATTATTATTAGAGTTTTTCTATCATATGCATAAATGTATAATAAATGCATTTTTTATAATTAATTTTCATTAAAAGTGTAAATGTTAATTTCTATTCAATCAATTAACGTATTGTCTCTTTTTTTAAATTTGAATAGTACATAATGATGATATTATTATTATTATTATTATTATTAGGGTTTTTCTATTTTATGCCTAAAGATATAATAAAAGTATTTTTTTATAATTAATTTTCATTGAAAGTGTAAATGTTGGTTTTGTTTAATCAATTAATTAATTAAAATCATCTATGTATCAATAGTATTAAAATATACATAAACTTTTACAATTTTTAATGCAAATTGTTTAGCAAAGTTGCAATCTATTTGGGAGTGCAGCTCAGGGCAAATTCCCCTCCCCTTTCTCTTTTTGAGGAAAAAAATGCACTTTAAAAAAGGATAATTGGTTGTTTATGGAATGAAAATAATAATATATAGCATATTTGACATCTTTTGCACCCTTAACTTATATTCTAAGAGTACAAATTAGACAAACTCGTATTATTATTGTTATTAATCCTTGGAAAAGAATTTAATGTGCTTTTGAAAATATTATAAGTTCAGCTTCAATTTTAACTAATAATTACCAAATGTAAAAATAAAATAAAATGATAAATAAATGAGAGAAAAATTTGAAATTTTAATTTTTTTTAATTCTTAATATATTTTAAATTCAAAGCTTAAAGAATAAAAAATTTATTTGGTAATACTTGAAAAAGAAATTGAATAAGATGAATTTTATATTTATTTAGAATATTCAAAAAAATAATTATTTATTTAAATATATCAAAATTTATTTTTCAATTATATTTTTGGTTTTTGATTTTTAAACCCCGGCCCTAACCACTAACCAACCAAATGTTTTTTTCATTATAACAAAGACCGAAAAAATAAATGAAAAATTAAGAAACCAGTTACATCTTACTATTTGATTATTTTTTAATTGGTTTTTGGTTAACTAAATAATGTTACTATTTGCAATTACACCAATTACATCTAACTATTCGCAAAAACCATTTGTTAACCAACCATTTGCCGACCCCAAAATGATGTTATTTAAATGATTATTTTATTAGTGCATGAGGTCTAAAGGTTTTTGGGAAAAAAAATCTAAAGAGTTCAAATTATTAATTATAATTTTTTATGAATGATAAAGAAATAAATTTATAAGAAATTAGTGTTTTTTAGTTGAATTTACAAAAAAAAAAA